ACTTGACCCATCATACAATTCTTCTTACACTTAGTACAGAAAAGTGTCCCTTCCTGTTCTTTAAGCTTCTTATTACATCCAAGTTTCAGGCATGATAAGTAGTACCAACCATCCTCAAAATCTAACCCGAGAATCTCAGCAGCAACATAATAGTCCCCATCCTATAGTATTCAAACAATTTCATAAGTATATATAACAGTTAATAATTTCAGTCCCATCAAACTACAGAAAAGATTGATAGCTTAGTATATGTACGGCATTCAAACTTTAGTTGTCCAGAAAAGATTAATAATTTAAGAGTATATGTACTATAACTATAACTATATATATATATATATATATATATGGATGGGAAGCAAGCCCCTTTTCCAAGTCGACGGAGGGCAGTTTACGGTTTACTGAATTGCAGCAGTCGAGAAATCTGGTCGGCACGCCGCTAGCTGCTCTGAAAACCACGTACGTACGTTTTTGTGTCAATTTTTAATTGAATTAAGTATATCAGATATTATGCATATATAAATATAATTAAAATACATATTCATTGATGATTATAATCACATAGTTGATTTCAGGGGCAAGAGGGCAATCGGAGTTAAATTGATCATGTATTGATTCAATAACTACAAGGTTTCAAGTTATAAACTCCTTGTGAGTCATGTCTTTTGACTTTGCTAGTTTGAGTTGGTCGGCTAACTCCTTTGATTCTTTAATGACTAGGTTCACAAGACGTGTTTCACTCAAAGTGCACTAGAATCCTACTTGTTGCCTTACATAATGAAAGAATTGCTTTACTCATACTTTTTACTTATATCTTGTATTCTTTATTTTATTTTTTGGTTGCTGTGGCACGGTATTTTATTTTATTTTATTTTTTTTAAATCAGAATTTTCATTTAATGTATTTTCTCTTTTCGATAAAATAAAAAGAATGTAGCAGGAATTTTACTCATTAGAAAAATATTTATGATTTTGCTTGCTTAAATAATTAATGCGAAATGAGAATTAGAAATTGAATAAGAACATTTATGATGAGTTGACGACAAATGGTGCAAGATCAGAAATTGTCGGGGATAGATGCATTATGCATATGCCCTATAAAATTCCTACTTTATTGGCTATGGACTTGTACATATATTATTATTATTATTATTATTATTATTATTATTATTATTATATTTTTATAATTACAACTCAAGTTTCAACTTCTCTAAATTATATATCCTGACTCTTATAAATTCGCCCTAAAACCTATGAAAAAAGGTAAATCTCAAGTTATCCAAGTAATTCTAATTAAGTTTATTGTTGCCTATACATTTCTCTACGCAAAATAAAGCTTCACTACCACTAATTGGTCTAAGTCTCTTAATGACTCGATCCTTAGGTTCCTAATAGAGTTTGAATTTATACCATGCCATTAGAAGTAAGATTAAACCTTAATTTGACAACCACTTAAACTATCCCGGCATGGTTGTATATTCATTTTTTTTTTGTGGCAACGAAAAGTCACACTATCAAAAGGTGTACATTAAGTAAATTGTATTAGAATGACTATGTATGATAAACTTGACCGAAAAAATATTGACAAAAATTCACATCATAATATATATACTCTGCCACTCCGATCTTCAATTCCAAGCCTGCCTGTGCATATGTTCTTAGCTAGGTTTTCAAAGTTGAGAGAGAGATGGAGCGTTAAGCTTAAATGAAATGATGCATGCATGGATAGTAATTGTGAGTACTCTTTCAATTATTGACTTCAAGAAATAATAATACTCAATTTGTACGACATATATACGTGTTCTAGCTTTGTCTTCTCTTCCTGTGCTAGCTAGCTAGCTGCTAATTAGCTTAAGTGATGCATGCATGGCTGTAACTTTTGTAGCCCTACACACTTTTGATTATCTCTACTTCTGCATAGGTTGCAAATAGATCGATCCACAGTAGATTTGATGGTTTCTAATTATTACTATACGTACATTGTCAAAATAATTTTAAAAAGACTACTATATATTGAAGTCGGGTGAGACTCAAACCCTATACTATTGTTAGAGCAAGACTTTAAGGTGATCAATTGATGAGCCAATTGAGTAGGCGTTTGAATGAGTTAGGGATCTCACAATTTTCCTTTGTAGTGACTCTAGAGACAAGCCGGGTCCTATGAACTTAATGTAACTTACATGTAATATATTGAGGAGGGCCCGACAGAGCATTCACTCACTGGCTCAAATAGGGCGCACAAGAAAATCTATCCACTTTGGGTATAATTTCTACCTGGGTATAATTTCCACGCTGTCGCTGTCGAAGTTCGAGCCTTAGTTTCTTCCCTCAAATATTATCTACTGAATCAGTGAGCTAAGCCCGTGCGAGCTAATCCATATTTTTCTATAAGTTTAAATGGAGCTTTTTCTAATTTAATAATATAATGCCATTGAATTTTGAAAATAATTTGAAAGTTTATTTTATTTATTTTTTCATAAAAAATTAAAAATTTATGTATGTAAAACAAGGTAGGTAATCTATGGAGGTTATCGAATTCGTGGCGGCATATGGCGTGAGATAGATGCCCCCCAAATTGGACCCCTACCAAAGGATTCCAATTCAAGTACCATTGATTAGGGCTTTTTGGAAAACCTGTCTCTATACATGTCCCATTTAGAATAGTGCAAAAAAATGGCACAACCAAAATTTATTATATATGTCCATGACTACTACTGCTTCAATTCTTAATGGTCAAAACTCCTCTTTTTAAGGGCACTGTCCAACACCCTTAAAAGTAAAGACACATACAGCAGTACTTCTCAGCTTTCTACCTACAAATAAGGGACTCATCACCTACAATTGTTATATTTGGATTGTTCATTCTTTTTTTTTTTTTTTTTTTAAACATGACTAGGTAGAGTTTTAGGGTGCACTGCACTTATCAAATGGAGAAATTAAGTCCCCTTTTATTTTTTTGGAGAAAAGAAAATAGCAAATTCTTTACTTTTTTTTTTAATATTTGAAAAATAGAGAATGATGAATAAAAAACCGAAGCAATGAAAATATTAGAAAAAATGTCAGAGAATTGAAGTAAATACAATTTCCACTACTTGAAGAAAGTTGTAATGGGATTTTTTTAGTTTTACCATTTATAGTTGTTAGTCTCGATATCTAAAGAAATTTGTATGATATTTATTGTTCGGAATTATGTTTGAGCCTATTAATTAGTTGTTGTTGAGAGATCGAAAACATAAATCAAGATGAAAAATAGAAAGACTAAGAAGACACAAGATTTACGTCGTTTGACCGTGTATCTACGTTCATGGAAGCGAAGATATTCTTTTATTAATTCTAATGATAAAAAAAAAACCAATGATACAAACATCATATTTATATGTAATCCTAATAGTGCATTTACAAAAGTACCTGAACCATACTACGGGCTCCCACACGGCCACACCCCCAACCCACCCTACATAAACGAAGACAATGAGGAAAACGAAACACTACTCACTAGTCACTCCACTCCATTACACTCTAACATTTATAATCTCTCTAGCATATAAGACATACACAACAATTGTACATATTACCATCATCGTCTCCCATTTTTAAAAATAAAATAAAATATGAATTTAACAAGATTATCCTGCAGAAAGTAAGAAGACTTAAAAGTTAAAAGGTCAAAAACAAGCATTCTCATGTGCTTTATATATATATATATATATATATATATATATATATATATATAAGGTGGAAAAGAATCTGTAGTGAGTATAATTTATAAAAGTTAAGAGGAGAGAGATTATCATCAATTCATCATCAGAAAAGGCAAGCCATTTCTGTCAATTAATTTTTAACACTGGTTTCTGAAAGTGATCATATATGTATTCCAAGAGCCAACTTTTGTTTTAAAACCCTAATAATTCTACCATCTTATTGCGTGTAAAGACCTCAAGGAATATTTGTAAAGGCCATTCATACAGTCATATCTATTATCTCAAAACCCTAATTCTTTATCTAATTCAGCCATAATATCTGGATTTTCATGAGCTCTTTATGAAAAGTGCTAAACGATAATTTTAAGAGTATTCATATTCTTGTAATTTGGGGATGCCAATTTACTTTTATTTTCTATTTTTGTAAAAAAAAAAAAAAAGCAAATTAAGTTGTTGTTGTTGTTGTTGTTGTTGTTGTTGTTATTATTATTATTATTATTATTATTATTATTATTATTATTATTATTATTATTATTGTTATTGTTATTATTGTTATAGTCACACTTGTATGAGATTGTCTCACAAATCATAATCAGTGAGACGGTCAAATTTATAATAGTTATTTGTTAGGAGTTAGGATGGAAATCATATACTTATTAAATAAAATTTAATATGAATTTCAAATAAATAAAATGTTATTTATAATAGATATTTTGTATCAGTAATATTTTCATGTGAAATTGTGATACTATTTAGGATAAAATGATTGTTACTAATAATAAATATTGTAATACTTATAACTGAAATTGTGATACTTACAAAGTGTAATTCTAATATAAATATTGTAATATTTTTATGTGAAATGTTACTTATAAAAGAAATTGTAATACTTATTGTATAAAATTTAATATCAATTTGACTTAAAAATATATAGATTAGACAATGGGTGGAAACTTGAGGATTAACGTGGCAACTTGTGATTTACCTCCTTTAGCAACTCTTAGACAAGATTCTAGGGACTTAGAAATAGTCTAGCATAGTGATTTAACGCAAATTAGACTGTGGATCAGGACCGACTTTGCATTGTATACTATGATCTAAAATGACATATTCTTATAGTTCACTTAATCAGTGTTGCAAAAATCGCGCCTAGACGCCGACTAATCGGCACTTGGGCACTTGAGTGGGTACCTTGTAAATATATAATAGTTGTTGAAGCATCAAGTGTAATTTTACGAAGCAGAATTGAATCGCCACATGTTTATTTGCCGCAATGATCCCACAAACTTCACTGACCTTCAGTCAGTGTACAGAGCATATACTTGAGTTGAGGCCCTCTCAGAATTCAGCATTTCAGCTAGTGGGCTTCAACTTCATCCACAACTTTTACTTTTAATTTTCCCTTTTTTTACAAAGAAAAATGTCATTGACAGCGTCTATTCCTATCCGGCCATTTACAAGTTTTTCCCACGCCACACTTCGAAACCCCATCAAAATCTCCGCCTTCACACTAGATTTTCCTCTGCCCAAATCTGTGCGCCGGAATACCACAACCCGGAGGAGACCCAACTCCATGAACGGCGGCGCAGTTGCAGCGAGAATGGATGATGATGATGATGACGAGGACGTTCCATTTTCCCCATCGCTTGAGCAAGAAGCTTTCATCAATGCATCCAAACTTGTTGGTGCTTCTGTTTCTGGACTCGAAGCCGTCCTGAATAAGCTGGTTGGTAAAATTTATTCTATTTTGTTTCGAGAATTTGTGACTTTTGTGTGTGTATCGCCAGTAAATTGCTTATTTTGATAGCGCCGCCGAGCTTATATGCATTTGTTGTGGTGTTAGCGAGATTAAGGATAGTTTGGTGAGGGTAAATAGTTACGTGGCCGTTTGGTAACCCTAATTTAATCAGATTATTGAGATGATAATACACTGTAATTTTTTGCTGGTTAATAAGCAGTTTTTAGTTTAATAAATAACTTGGAGTTTATCATTAATTAATCAGAATTCTCAATCATATATCATAATTGCAATCTTTACTAAAAGGGACCTATATTTGATTAAATTCCATAAGCTAATCTTCTTGAAGGAAGCAGCTTAGGATGATGGAAAGGGTTGAATAGTTTTTTTTTTGAATGGATTTTAAGCTGTTAATGATCTAATTCCACATTTCAAAAGGATGGATTTTGAATTGGAAGCTTTGATATTAGGATGTTGTTGGGCGGAGGCCGGTGAAGGGCCAAGTCCAGCACCCTGCCTCTCGAAAATGTGATGGCGGTCTACTAGCTATAGTGTTTTTTGGCGTAGTGGTAAGCGTTTGATCCTAACAGATGCCCATTTGGTTACTAGTGAGCACATTAAGATTGCATGATACAATTGGGAATGCTATGTTTTGGTTTCCGGCATTAGACTATAATACTATATATACTTGTATGCCGAGGATCAGTAAATGTCTGGAATCTGGATCTGTCGGTGCAAATTCCTCAACTTTCTTTTAGTTCTAGGAAACGAATTGATTATAGTTTACAACTTATCGTAGCTTTATTACACTTGAAATGCAGAGTAAATGGCTTTTTGCTGTAGTTTTTGGTGTAATCCTGCTCTGGAGACATGATGCACAGACACTTTGGGCTTCTATTGGTTCTATTCTGAATTCTGCGCTTTCACACATCCTGAAGAGAATATTGAACCAGAAACGACCCGGTTCCACCTCACGATCAGATCCCGGAATGCCATCTTCACATGCACAATCAATCTTCTATATTGTCACATTCGCTATAGTCTCAAGTAACTTTCTCCTGCCAATCTTGTGAAGATGCTGTGAATACAAGCGTTTTTGTAGCCTAGATCTTAAATGTGAACTCTAGTTGACCAACATGTGATAATTTGTCCAAAAATATGTGGTATATAAAATCCCATACACAAATACTTTTCTCATTATTTAAAGAAAATTTATTTAAGATCAATTGTCATGTCTTCTTACCGTGTTTAGAGGACCTGCCATTTTTTTGCACTAATGATTACCATTCTGTTTCAACATGTTATAACTCTTTTCGTGTTATTGATTGCAGTGGTTCAATGGTTTGGACTGAATGGACTCACAGCAGCACTTGCCGGGCTTATCTTTGCACTTGGTTCTTATTTTGTAAGTCCACAATAGCAACTTTTACTCAGTTTGATGTGGAACTTTTGCATGCTTTAAAGTTTAGATATCTATCCTATTAAGATATATAGACTAGTAAAAAAGATCTGGTTAGTCTAAGAACTTTCGGTTACTTTAATCAAACTCTGATCAATATACTAAAGTAGCTAACAAAACCGTTTGTTAATAACTGTAACCTTACTTAGCAGCCCGAGTTAAGGTAGCATAGTACTCTTACAATGTTTCTGAAAACGTGATAATATTTGGCTGTTTTCTATTTATGCAGTCATGGCTACGAATTTCACAGAAGCTTCATACGGTCAACCAAGTGCTTGTGGGTGCAGCGATAGGGTTAGGCTTCTCCGTAGTCTGGTTGTGGTTATGGGATGCGATTGTGTTGAAGGCGTTCATATCCTTCCTTTGGGTTCGGATTATTGTTGTTCTTGCTGCTGTCGGGTTATGCTCCAGCTTTGTCATATATGTTGTTCGATACTGGGTTCTTGATGAACAATGACATTTTTCCTGCAATCAAATACTCTGAGAATCTAACAGTATTTGTTGGATTTGGATACATAGACATAGTGACTGTAGAAACAGCTGATCATTCACTAACACTGTAGTAACCTTAGTTTTCTGAACGTTTATTACGTATGCATTGGTCAAATATCCAATTATACAAATTCTATATGTTTACATATTTTACCTCCTCTTTGTAAAAAATAGAAAATATTAATAACTATACAAATTTAGATTTTAATATTGATATTTTGTGTTGATCCCCAACCTTGCTTAATCATCAACCTTGAATTATTCTTTTTATTTTGAGATGACATAAAAATTGTATTAACTATACAAATTCAAATTTGTAATTTGTAGCCCGCATAGGCAGTTCAATTGGTCACAAAGATAAAATTTATCATTTTCAATTGGTCACAAAGATGAAATTTGTCATAAGACCAATGATCGAACTTCACCAACGGTGTGATAGCAAAAGTCATTGTGACAAACAAAATATCATTTGTTAAGGAAAAGAAATGTTACTGCAATTACTCCTTTCAAATTTCAATCCAAGGGGAAAGTAACAGTAAGATTAAAATAAATAAATAATAATAATAACAATAACAATAACAATGACAAATGATCGAACTTCACCAACGGTGTGATAGCAAAAGTCATTGTGACAAACAAAATATCATTTGTTAAGGAAAAGAAATGTTACTGCAATTACTCCTTTCAAATTTCATCATTTGTTAAGGAAAAGAAATGTTACTGCAATTACTCCTTTCAAATTTCAATCCAAGGGGAAAGTAACAGTAAGATTAAAATAAATAAATAAATAAATAATAACAATAACAATAACAATAACAATAACAATAACAATAACAATAACAATAATAATAATAATAATAATAATAATAATAATAATAATAATAATAATAATATATCTATCTCAGCTACTTGTCCAAATATAACATCACAACAAGAGTCATTCAGGGAAGCAGATGCTGAAATGATTTTCTGCAGCAAATGAGAATCAACAATTAGTTCAGTTCTGTCAAAAATTAAATTACAGTACTACATCTTTTCTCATTATCCGATATCCTTCTCATATTTACATATCAAACACTTGATTGTAGCAATTTTAATTGATATCAGGTTAACATTTTGAAGCCAAGTGAAACAGGTTTAGGAACTTACAAGTAGAATGCATGTGTTGCATTTTTGTGAAAAATATACAACCCTCATCAGTAGCATGTCTCTTGTGCAATAGCTTCCATATCGGCATGGCAACAAAGAAACACAACTTGGAGTAGGAAATTTAATAACACACCACCTGACATAATTCATTTGCCAAGAATGTTCATGCAAGAAACCGTTTTCCAACTGTGTGCAGTTCTCTGTTTAATACCATTTCTATCAGCCGATCATCAGAGCATCAACTTTTGCACATTATGAATTTGTCACCTCTTTCCATATCAATTTTCAAACAGAATATCTAATCACAAGGCTTTAATTTGTCCGCCATATCCATAGTGCTTTAGGAGACCCTCATTTTGCCTCCAATTCTCTTTAACCTTCACCTCTACCTGTTCAAGATAAAGTGTTCTGAGATTATTTTCTCCAATATTACAACTATGGAACCAATTTTCAGCAGTTATTCATTACGGTGCTTTTATTTCTAAAAGATGCATGTACTAACATGAATTGTTGCACAGTACAAATAAACTATTTTTTTTTTTTGGCAGGAATCCCTCTAATTAGACTGTACCTCAAGAAAAACTTTCTTTTGCAAGAAATCTTCTATATCAAGCCGTGCAGCTGTTGCAAGAAGCTTCAAGGCCTTCCCTTCCTGAACTAAATCACAAATTAGATATTAGTGTATGTATGTGCATATAGGCCAAATTAATTATAAGTCATATTATGGATTCTGGATTTGTAAACCCAACACCATATAATTGTGGAATGAAACACAAGAATATTCAAACAAAAATCTTAAGGTATAGTAATTGACCTCCAAATTTACCCTATTCAAACCATCAATCAGCTCAAACATTTGACTTTGTGGTGAAGATTAATCAGTTGTAAAGTTAATTAACAGAAGAGTAACTAATGAACATTACCTTTCCAATGAGGATGACTTTTTGAGAGTTCTTCTCCACTATAACTTCAACTTGTATAAAATCTTTTGCATTTGGTCTAGTTTTGTAACTAACTACATTAACCTGCAGGAGAAGAAAAGTCAACAAAACAGAATGAAGTGTTAACATTATTTCATAAAATATATATTTAAAAAATTGAGAATTGTGCACTGTTTTACCTGACAGGCATAAGGAATTTCATTCCGATATTGCATAAAGATCTTTTCTCTGACAATTTCAGCAACAAAAAATCTTTCTGGATGCTCACTAGCAATGTCCTAGAGGTAAGGATCAACCAAAATCATTGAAACAAATTAGAACTTCTCCAAATAGATAGGTGTTGCAGATTATTTTCAGAAAACAGATACATTTATCAAAACATAGAACTCTGAAACTGTGTAGAGAAACAAAAATTTCAGGACCCATTCAGCAAACACATGACGCAAATCAGTCACTAGTTCAAACTTTACAGAGTAAAACCTGCTGTTTTGTTACATTATTAACTTTCCTTCTCATATCTTCCAATTCTCTCAATCATTTTGATTAGTAATTAAATTTCCTCACTGTGCAAAGCAATTGTGTTGCTCTACAGCAATTCATGTAGCTGGTAACAATAAGACTCTACATTTTCAAAATGTATGAAATATAAAAAAGGAAATTGGCAAAGCACTGATATTATTAAAAAATTGTTTTCAAGAAAGAAGGAAATCGGCCATACCTTGGGATAATAAGCCGGTCCAAGAGGAAGCTTAGAGAGTATCCAATCTTTCACATCTTCCACTCCATGCCCATATTTGGCACTGACAGGAATGACCTCATCAGCATCAGTAAATTTCTCATACCACTGGAAGCAAGAGAAAATGTTAATACAGCAGGAGAAAATTTTAACATCCTAGAAACACATGGGAACTTCCAATCTTGATCAGTGGTATTACACCAAATGTTCTCTTTCCCGAAAAGTATACCAACACCTTATTAAAAACAAGGAGACACAGAAAAGAACTAAAGTATACTATTTGCTTTTCCACAAGTTCTGCATGTTAGTGCCATATATTTAGTTTATAACCATGTTATGTGGCTTGACATGATGTCAAATGAACTCTAATTTCTATCTAGAAGATGGCTTTAAACAGTGATGCATATTCCAAACAGCAATTGCATATCCTGATTTAAGACCACAATTAATATTCCCAGCTAGTGCCATGCATTTTCTTTTTGTAACTACACCTGCTATTTAGGATTTCCACAAAAGGATATAAGGTGTTTCAATTGTCATACATAATTTTCCAGGCTAAAAAAGAGAGTATCTAAGCATTAACATTTGAAACAAGCAAGAAAATGGCAGCAAAATATAATGGAGGTAATATTGCTTATACCTCAAGTTTCTTTGCAATTTCACCTGGTTTGATCAGGTCCTTCTTATTCAAAACCAGCAATATTGGTAATCTATCTTTTAGTGTTCCAACACCCTCATACAGCACTTCATCAATCTAAAAGACAGAAAGCAGATAATTTAAGTACTACACACGATGTTTTTAGCCAAAATACAAACAAAGGTGCATACCTTTTCAGGAGCCCTACATGCATCAACAACAACTACTACACAATCTGCACTGACAGCAGCATTGCGGACATTCCTCATCATCATTGTGTCTAATTTGTGCATTTTCTTCTCTATAACACCAGGGGTATCATATAGTATCATCTGCAAGCAAATCCACAGCTCTGACTCCAAGGTACAAGGAATTGTAAATATTTTGACCAAATTGATTATGAGCATGAAAGAACTAAACTAACAGAAGTCTTCAAAATCATCAAAGACACACATTTATTCACAAAGAGACTCAATTTCAATTGAAAAGCATCCGGAAAAAAGATTGCACATGTCAAGAAAGGTTGCATTGTGTATGGTTCATCTCCCTAATTTTTCATGGGTGAGGTCAATCAAAATAGAATTGAAGACTGGAAGAGTGCATATATGTAAAGAACAGCATAAATATGAGCAACGTAGTTACAAATATCTACAAACCTGATATTCTGGAGCTGAACATATACCAAGAATGCGATGCCGTGTAGTTTGAGGCTTATCTGTGACAATAGAGAGCTTCTGCCCAACCATCTGGTTCGAAAGTGTGCTTTTTCCCACATTAGGCTTCCCAAGGACAGCTACATATCCTATATTACAAACAACACTATTTTCAACTTATCTCCTAACAAATTCTATTATATTAAGCAAAAAGCATAGTCATACCCTGCAAATTCAGTATCAAACTAACCATTCTGCGGAGTCAATTAGACTAGCTGGATACTATAATCCATTATCCATGGTGCTTTAAGTTTTAACAGTGCTAGTGTATGAATACAGAAGGTGAAGAACTCACCGCTCTTATGATTAGGGTTATCGGAAGCACAGTCGAGCTCTTCGAGCTCATATTCATCAAGCACTGCGAAGTTCCGGTCCGGTTTCTCGGTTAGAGACAACACCACACCGGAGTCATCCTCCTCTTCTTCTTCTTCCCCATAGCTTATCCTCGATGTTGCTCTATCTCCGATATAAAAATCATCTACTTCTTTATCTTCTAATAGGCGCTCGAGCTCCGGATTTGTTTGGCGAGAAGCAGTCGCGTGAAGTTTGAAATTGATTGCTCGGTTTGAATTCCAAGTTTTTGGGCTAAATTGGAGGAGACAAGCATTGCAGGAAGAGCGAGTGTAACGGACCGAAGCACAGAAACAATTGTATTCCCGTGGCGGCGAGGCCGCCGGCGCCGGCGCTGCTGGGAATAGAGACATGTGGTGGTGCCACTGCGGCAGAGCCAGCTCTATCATTTTGGATTACGAAGTACAGTACAGTGTACAGAGCCCAACTCTATCTTTTCCGCCCGCGCCCAAGGCAACCTTCCTTTTTTTTTTTTTTTTTTGTTAATTCTTGAGCACGTAGTCAATTTAATTTTTACTCCGTAGTTAATTATAAAAAATAATAATAATGGAAAATGTCAAATAAAGTCCTAAATTTTACCTGAAAAATCAATGAAGTCTCTAATTTTTAAAAAATACAATTACATCTTTTAATATGTTATATTGAGATAATTAGATCCAAAAATCTTTAAATTACTTGCTATTACAGGACATTTCGATTCCCGACATATCTTTGCGCGAAAATTCAGCAACCGGCGACGGCCGAACTGTCGTCGGTCGCCTTCTCCGGCATAAGGCGACCAACTCGCCTTTCGCCTTCTCTGAATGGAAGGCGACCAATTGGTCGCCTTCTGCCGGAGAAGGCAACCAACTGGTCGCCTTCTTTGGTAGATGGCGATTGACGACGATTTGGTGGTCGCCGGAGATATACCGAGAACTAAAATAACCTGTAATAGCAGGCCATTTACGGGTTCTAGAATTTCATTGCATCAACATATCATGTTAAATGGTGTACTTACACCTTTTAAAAGTTTAAGGACTTAATTGACATTTCAAACAAAATTTAGGAGCTTATTTAATCATTTTTTCTAATAATAATAATAAAACTTTTAGAGTTATACCACTCTTATTAATTGGGGGCGTAAATTTTGTTTATTAGTTATTCTCAAAGTGACATTTTCAAAAAAAAAAAAAAAAAAAAAAAAGTATCAACTTGTATTAAAAAAAAAAAAAAAATACTCTTATCTTTTTACGGTTAGTTTGGTCATTGAAGTATTAACTATATTTTTTACATATCATTTCGCTCTACTCACATCATTTTTAATTTGAATGACTATAGACGTTAAACAAGTTTGATAAATTTTACCCCTGATAACATTTGACGTCAAATTTGAGTTGAAAATGACATTGGTTGGAGACTTGGAGTGAGGGGATATGTATAGTCGTATACTAGGAAGAAGATTAATGATGAAATGACAAAATTGAAATTTCCACTATTTTTCATATGAAAATGATAAAAAAATATGTAAAAAGAGTTAATAGACTGAATCTATATATATATATATATATATATATATATATATATATATATATATATATATAAAAGCATAAATCATGAACCAAAATGTATCATTTTCCTTTCACCAAGAGATCAAGAATTCAAAACTTATTCGATGTATTAATTATTATGATGAAATGAGTGATCGAGTAAGTAGAACATAATTATTGTGATGAAATGAGTGATCGAGTAAGTAGAACATAATTATTGTATTAAAATGTCAACAATTTGATTCTTGTCAATATTATTTCGGTTGAGTCTGTTACACTAAGTTTTACAAGATTTACTCTCTCATCACTCAAAAAATGTACTCCGTATTAATTATAAGATGTAAATATAATTTTAATACCAGGACTATGTGGTCTAATGGTACCTGGGTTGGACTTCCATTTGGAAGGTTATGAGTTCAAGCCTCAGTGGAGGCGGGTGTTATTGGTTTCTTTGTGTTTTAGTAGGTTGAGAAAGAATAGAGCCAGTAACATTCAAAAAAAAATATAATTTTACTATTTATTAATCAAATTAACTAGTCTTTTTCAATTTTTTTCTCTAATAATATTGTTTTTCAATATTTAAGTTTAATAGTATATGTAATGTAATTTTTAAAATTTTGATAATTTTGTCCTACACTATTTGATGATCATACGATATCTTATAAAAATGAAATATTATTATTATTCTCCATAAACAAATATGGCCCTTTTTTACAAAGTAATTACGGAGTAACATTTATTTTTTATTTTTTTCCAACGGATTAAAGCAAGAAAAATAAAACAAAACAAAACACAGTTGACAAATCACAATACAGAAATATTGGTCTTAGAGGCCATGTCCCGTATACCGCCATATCCGCCTTCCTTAACATACTCAAGGTACCTCGAGAACTCCGGCCTCGCCGTCACCTTCCTCGACTTCTTCCGGCCATCGAAGAGGCTGAAAAGCGGGTGAACCTTGCTGGCCCTGTGCACTTGCTTCGCCTGAGATTTGGTCGCCGCCGCCAGCTCCGACGACACCTTATTATTCTTCGACGACGGCGAACTGAAAACGTGCTTACCGGCCGGCACCGTCTTCGTCCTCACTAGTTTCGGATGATCGTCAATTTCAATCAGAGGAGTTTCGTCGGTTAATTGCTCGTAGGCAAACGGGCTTCTTCGTGTAGTCATTGATCTCAGCATCGCCATGGCTAAGTATATATAGTAGCTAACAAGAATTGATATATATTTATGTATATATAACAGTAAAGTTGAAGACTCTCAGAGATTTATTGAAATGATGATTAGTAATTGAGTGTATATATAGGTGGAGATGTGTGGCAAGTGGATGGTATAACATAAATGAATATTTTAATTATGAATATATTATTATTATAGTATTGGCGTTTTAATTGTGCACATTTTATTAAAGTATGTAGATATAATAGTAGTAATCCATGTTTGATTGATTAATATAACAGAAGTATCATGTATATATGTCAAAGATGGCTTGCGGCATGCTAAAACTAACTAGTTTGTTGAAATGTTGTGGTGAGTTGAATGTTGATGTTTGACCATATATATGAGCCTTCCATGCATCTTCCATTCTACATTAATTAATGCCTAATTATATTATCCAATGTGTCATTATCATATCACATTTACTACACTTATTTCAACGTTAAAACTTTACTTTCTTCTTCTTATAAAGTTTTACTTGTATAATTTAATATGTATTTATATCATGTAATATTTTTATTTGTATATATGCATATATAATTCTATCAGTTTTCTTTAAATTAAATTTATACTCTTTTTTTTTTTCTTCAATTATATCAATCGGAGGGCTAACTCAGTCACTTCAATCCTTTTAATGGGGATTCAAATTTTCAAGCGTGGGAGATGTTAATGCACTAATATTCTTCTCATATGGTTCTTCGAATCAACTCCGATGGCTTTGGCCTTGAGTTTATTCCTCCCACCAACACGACCCCTAAATGGCAAGTGTGGGTGACGATGGAGAACGGTGGATGGTGGTGAATGCAATAGTCGTCCCTGATCTGCTGAATGTCGTGCGTGAAGCGGATATCTCTACGAATGGCTTGACAATAAAGAAACGGTTGCATATCGTTAGGTATAAATTTTAATTATACATTAGGTACTTTGTTTACGAATTAGGTAATTTGATTTCAATTCAAATCATCTAATAATATCGTTTATAATTATATCCATCATTGCGTATCCATATCTCTAGAGTACTTAGAGTAGTATTTTATGAATTCACGGTTAGGAGTTGGATGTATGAAAAACGCACTATATTCAAATATATGCAAGGGCTTCAAGAGTTTATACAATATGGTGAAGAAAATAGGAGTAAAAAGGCGGAATACTTTATTATGTGCCCGTGTTGCATGTGATTGTAATAATTTTAGAAGATATCGTAGTTCTGATGAAGTGAAGAGTCATTTGATACTAGGGGTGTAAACGAGTCGAGCCGACCTCGAGCATGGGTATGCTCGAGCTCGAGCTCGTTAAATGCAGCTATGCTCGAGCTCGAGCTCGTAACTGGATGCTCAAGCTCGAGCTCGGCAATTATCGAGCTCGAGCTCGAACTCGATCTTGAGCTCGAGTTCGAGCTTGATTTTGAGCTCGAATTCGAGCTCGAGATCAGGCTCGAGCTCGGGTTCAAATGCGTGCTCGATCTTAACCTTGAATTTGACGGTTTAACCTATTTGATTTAAAATTTAAACTGCTCTGTTTTATCCATACATAAATAATACAAACTTCAAATCAAAACACTCAAAATAATTTCGCAACGAAGTAAAAGATAGTGAAGACACAAGTCTGTTTGTTCAAACTTCAAAACATTCAAAATAAGTTTGCAAATCACAACAAAACACAAGTCAACAGTAGTAGTCCTTGATTCCTTGTACATATATATTTCGTCCCGGATATGTTCAAAACAATAGGGCTTTTAAGTTTTGACTTTTGAGTTTTAAATTTTAATTATTATTTTTATATATTTTAATTATATAATATTATATATTATATTGTATATTATACGGCTCGCGAGCCGGCTCGACGAGCCACGAGCCTAGAGTATCTAGGCTCGGCTCGTGCTCGTTTATTTGACGAGCCGCTCGAGCTCGGCTCGAGCTCGATTTTGACCGAGCTCGAGCCGAGCGTTGACCGAGCCGCTCACGAGCGGCTCGGCTCATTTACACCCCTATTTGATACGCAGTGGTTTTAAGGAAGAATACAAAAGATGGATATGACATAGTGAAAGCTTACTTCTTAGTACAAAATTGTATTGTGAAGTGGCAAATTATGCTGTGCATCCGTATGCACCATGCATGGTGCATACAGATGCAAAAACGACGTCGTTTTAATAAAACACGCGTTTTCCCTTAAAAAAAAAAATCAAGTTCGATTCCCAGCAACAACATATGAATTAAAATTCCATAATCGATGAACTATAATTCCATAATCGATGAATTATAATTCCATAATCTAATCTATGAACTAAAAATTTCAGAATGAATGAACTAAAATTCCATAATCTATAAACTAAAATTTCAGAATCGTTAAACTACAATTCCATAATCGATGAACTATAATTCCATAATCAATGAACTATAATTCCATAATCTATTAACTAAAATTCCAGAATGAATGAACAATATAATGTTGTTGCTGGGAATCGAACCTGAAAATTTTTTAAAGAAGAGACGCACGTTTTTTAAATAAAACGACGTCGTTTTGGCATCCGTATGCACCATGCATGGTGCATACGGATGCACAGCATAACGATTGATTGTGAAGTACTCTTGATAATATGGATAATAAACCAAATTTGTGTTGGATTTGGGATCCAAAAGACCATCATTGAGTTTGTAGCTACAGACCATGTGTTGGCCCGGTTAAAGATTACCTTTAAAAAGTCGGCCCAATTTATTACCACTTATCAGGAGTTATTTCAATCATTATTCTGTGGACCAGGGTCTACACAAGTTGTATGGACCATATTTTGTATATTGTAAAATAATATACATTTAATACAAAAATAATATACATTTAGTACAAAAATAATGTACATTATATTCAAGAGATGTACATTATTTTTGTATTGAGTGTACATTATATTGTATAATGTACATACAGTACAAAATTATGTACATTTAGTATATTAAAAATGTATTTTTTTTTATTATGCTCCACATAACATTGTGCGGACCATGATCCACACAATAATTTGTCGAGTTATTTTTAGCCGGCCTCGTCAAGCCCACAAAATGGCCAATATTTATGACAAATCAGTTGTTATACCATGGAACAGGATCCACATCGCAAGGTGAGTCCTGGTTTTAAACGCCATATAAATTGGGTATTTTTATTATTCAAATTGTAAATTTTTTATTTATAAATTACGTTTCTAAGTCAAAACATATATTGTAGAAGGAAAATTGTAATTACAATACATGGTCATCAAATTCTAATCTGTTAATATTGTATGACTGCAATATTTGAAAGGAACTTGTGAATACAAATTAATATGGAGTATATGTTAATATTGTGTAATTGTAAACATTTAGTGCCTAAATTGTAAATATTTAGGCATGAGTCTATCTTGATGTACTCGGATCCACACAATAAGTTACCATAACAAATATAGCCTACAAATTTATTAGGCTTTTCCTATATTTGAGGCTTTGAGTTTTAAATTTTCCCGGCCCATATAGACTAACAGACACTTGGAAGTTGGACATTTGGCGCGCGGCCTAATCGGATTTCATTGCCGCCGCTTCTCTGAACACGAATTCTCGGCCGGCGAATACAATGGCAGAAGATATCTTCGACTCATCTCTGAATCTAGAGGACACACATTACAAGCAAGGATACTCCGATGGTTATGCAGACGGTCTAGCTTCCGGCGTAGAGGAAGGCCGCCTGCAGGTGGGTCTAAAAACCGGGTTTGAAGTCGGATTCGAATTGGGCTTCTACAGAGTCTGTATCGACGCCTAGAACTCCGCGATTCGCCTCCAGTGCAGAAAAACATCGTGCAGATGGATGAATTGCTCCGGAAGTACCCTATAGCGGACCCGGAAAACGAATCCGTTACCGATATCATGAACTCTTTGAGTTTGAGGATGAAGTTCCGAGCTATCTGTGCCACACGGAACGTGAATTTGGAGTATGAGGGTTACCCTAGGGCTTCCGGTGGTGAGAATACTGGATGTGAAACACTGCCTGTATATTGTGCTTCTAAATCATTTTGTAGTTTATTGCTTGTCTTTCTAGTTGAATAGTTATACTTCTCAAACAAACCTACTTTGTACTTTGTTTATCAATTTAAGAAATTTAGTCCTTGCTTCTTCTGAAAATTGAATGGCATTGATTTAGTCCTTGCTTCTTCTGAAAATTGAATGGCATTGATCATCTGAACACTGTTACATGTATGTTGATGGTGAGTTATTAGATAATCAATGGCATATATAGGCAGTGATGTTCATGTTGTTATGGGTTAAGCAAACATCTCTAGGCTCAGAGAAGGACTTCTTACCAACTGGGATAGGTTCAGTTTTCATAATTGTTCTAAGCACACCCATGTTCTTGTTATTCCCGTTGGATCACATTTAATGCTATGTTCATCACTCAATTAAATACGCCTTTTTTCAGATTTTGTTTTGTTTACACTTGCAGTAGTTGTCCAACATGTAGTATGGCCACATGGGTTATGTGCCATGTGAAGAATTGAAACTATTCTGTGTGTTCTAATCTTACTAACTGTGTGTATAATATGATAAGGTGAATATAATATTCTTGGATGGGAAGCATATTCTTATGCTTCTATTACTGTGAAATCTCGTCATGTTACGGATAGAATAATTCGATATCTTCATATCTCTCTTGTCATTATTTCAAGATTTCAACTGGCAATAGTAGAGGTTTCACCGGTTCAAGTATTTAATTATTTTGTCCTTGATTTGATAGCAGCTGTCTCTGTATTTCTAGTTGTGTGATTGTACATCAATTCATCAAAGGAACAGCTTGATATATACTATACCTAGCATCCTGGAAATCTATTCCTAGTAGCATGTACAATGCAAAAGTTTGGATAAAATTTGTATACTTCTTTGTTGTCTTTGTTCTTCAGTTTCCAAAACTAAAACCTACATCCATTGACTGTTTTTGTATCTATATGCTCAATTGTTGGCAAAACTAAAGACCTCTTAAAATATGCTAATTCCATTTTGTTGGTTCTATTGCACTTCTCCTGTTTCTGCAGGTCTCAAGCCTAAAGCTGTAACTTCTCTTGTTTCTGCAGGTTTCAAGCCTAAAGCTGTAACTTTATTTGCAATGGAAATGATAATTTTGAAGACCTGGGACTGGGATGCTTGATTTGGATTGGCATGATTACAAGTAAGTAGTCGTATTCTTGGTCTGCCCCATATGATTTAATTCTTGATGATACTTTTGTTTGTCAAGAGGGTGAGGGGGGGTGGTAGGGGTCTGGTGAACTATAGTATAGGGGTGAGTTTTAGAGATCTGGATGCAAGTGTTAAGGTATGATGTTCCCACAAATAATATTGGAAGATGGGGGTATTAATGATGCATGTTTTAGCTAGTAAATACTGCCCGGATGCAAGAATAATGCTTCTTATTTAAATGCATTGCCCTACAGTGTGTGTCTGTATTATATTGTGAAAAAAATACTGGGTACAGCGATGCTGCCATGGCTGGGGTAGCTGGCCACATGGAGACTGCATGTGGCCCTGCCTAACAGCCAAGACAGCAGTGAAGGTCCTTGAGAATGACAGGCATAGCATGTATCCGCCGTATCCTCCGCTTGATTGTGGTATAGTTTGTGTTGTCGTTAGGGTGCATCACCATCTCCCCCTTGTACTACTGTGAGCCCATTCTGTTTTCAGTTTTTACCAGAAATGACTGTTTGGTTTTTTATGTACTGTCAACCCTGTTTTGCGGCTACAACACCTTATCTTTTTGTCTATGACAGAGGCTAGACTTCGTTTATGAAGGAGTCTGGTTAGGGTTTAGGAGACCTAATAATATACAACTACCACAATAATAGCTCGTGGTTATTTAAAGTCACCCGTCCTGCTCACATTACATTCCTCATACACCATCCAGAGAGAGCTGAGTAAAAAATCAAACAAAATACATGTGTAATAAGGTTAGTACGATCTTTATTGTCACATATTAATGATTCCATGTGACTTAATTAATCTAACAAGCTTTTCATTTGCTGTAGAATGATTGCTCTTTTCTTTTGTTACCATTGTTTATTGTATCCGGAACTCTCTGAAACCGGTTCTAAAATATTTGGGTCATTTCTTAATAAATCAAAAGTTTCCTAAAAAATTTCTAATTATAACACTATTAGGATAAAAATTTTATGTTTGCGGAGAGCTGTCTATTTACTTTCTTAGGTTGAGCTAGTCGGTTATAAGTAATCTATATTAGTTTACTTCCTTGTGGTTCTTTTACTAGTTAAAATTATATGACGGATTTCAATTAAAGACTAAAGGACATTTTGTATAAAAATTAATGACTAATACCCCATTTGATGTAGGTACATATTTAGTTTTTTTCTTTTTCTCACACGCTTCCTTTGAAAAAAAAGATTGCCTTTTTTTTTTCCATTATCATGTGAAATATCCTCATGTGTTATGTCAATTCTCCAACCTTGCTTCCACCGTCTGCCTTCGTTGAAAGAGAGGGTACCCAGTTTATGACCTCAAAATTGTATTTTTTTTTAAAGATTAATTTGTCTTTTGTTTTTTATTTTTCATTTTTCGGGTTGCTTAAATTATAATGGACAATTTATAATTTGTCGTCATGAAACATAGGGGTCCATGACTAGACAAGAGCCAAATTGAATGCTGCCATTTTGATAAGAAATTTCATGCTGACATAATAAACATTATTTATAATATTTCATTATACCACTTTATACTATATTCCAAAAAAGAAAAAAAAAATTATAATACTTTATACTGGATGGAATCTAATCCATCTTTAAATCTCCAGTTCATCACCTAACTATTTGTTTACGTCTATTCATGTCTGTACATGTGAACAACTTTTCCTTTTCCAAATTGCATATGAATAAATAAATAAATAATAAAAAATAAAAGGAAATCCCAAAGATAACCCTAATGAATAGGTTCAATGGTTTTGACTTTTTTTATCTTTGCAATTTGTTTGACCAGTAAATGTTATTTTTTGGTTTAGTCCTAATTGGTTTTGAATATTGTATGACGTTTGCTTTTTTGACTTTTTGCACTATATTTAGATATTCTTCTCCCAAATATATATTTAGATATTCTAATGTTATTTTTGGACTAATTTATTAACTAATAGATACAAATAATTCTTATACTTCTTATTTTTCTTTTATTTTCTAAAAATGAATTATATACTTTATTTAAAAATAATGTGTTCGGATGAAATTGGAGCTCTAAAAATAATTAGTAGCAATTCTAAGGTTAATATATACTTCTAATAGATACTACATTATACCAGAGTTCGTAGTACTCAAAAAATATATACTTCTATGAATTTTTTAAAAAATAAAATTTATCCTTTATTTGTTATTTGGTCTAGTCTCATTCGAAAGCAGCCCTTACAAAGGCATTGTTGCATATATTGATATGCATATATTCGAACGTTCAGTCTCTTTTCACGACACTAAATTTTTTATTAAAAAAATTAACAAAAGATGGGGTATTTGTTGTCCCTAAATTATGAAAAATAGCATTTTTTGGTTCTTTAATTATACTTATTGTCACTTTTTATTTCTCATTTGTTTGCAAAGTGATTTTATCAATCCTTGAAATAGGGTTTAGAGTAAAAAAATCACTTCACAAATAATAAATAAAAAATGAAAGTGGCAACAATATAACCAATAGACGAAAAATATTATTTTCATATAATTCAAAACAAAAAGTGATATTTTTGTACACAATATTTGATATTTCTACTATAGTGAGAGAATTCGATTAACATCATGCCTTCACCATTTTACTCTTATCCGAGTTCTACTACATAGACTCCCAAATTGTACTCCCTCATTTGTACTCTCTAAGGTGGCAAATCAGGATTGATTATTTTCAACATGTGAGTCCACATAAAAATGTCTACATCAAGAACATGTGAGAGGAAATACTAGTTGGGAGTATAAAATAGGAGTAAACCAAGTATTTTCCCTCTTATCCATTAAAAAAAAAAAGAAAAAAAAAAGGACCTAGTTAAGTCTTTAACCTAGCGTGTACGAACGCAGTTTCTAATCTTGATGTTGCAGATTTTAGCTACGCGCCTACGCGTGATGCAGTTCACACGTATGGCATTTCATTCGCTAAAAATGGGAATAAAATTCTCTCTCACGCCGACAAAATTACTGGATCCCACGTATCACAAACACCTCCGCATGAAATAGTGGTTGGACTGTTGGAGCCAGCCATGTGCCTAAACGACTAATTAAATCATTAATTAAATCCAAGACCTTAAGTTAAGCAGTAATGGTAGTAAAAGTTTTCAATGATTAGCTCCCTTCCTCTCAAAGCCGTGTAATTTGACTTCGGGCTGCCCCACTTCGTGTCTGGCACTCCCCTTCCAGTTCATCATCATCATTAAACAAATAATAATTTCTTTAATTCTGTGTAATTTTAGTTTGAATCAGGAGAGAAACTCCATAATTACTATCCGAAATGTGACTTTAATCGGCAAGAATCATAAGAAGATAAGTCAATCTAGATGGTTTATAGTTGAATGATTCAAACAAAAAAGATTAATAGGTTGTTTTTGCTTAGAATCAAAACTTGTTACCTTGTAGTTATCAAATATGACAGTTTGACCAACTTGGTTGAGGCTGTCGCTTAGAATCAAAACTTGTTATCTTATAGTTACCTTGCTTAGAATCAAAACTTGTTACCTTGTAGTTATCAAATATGATAGTTTGACCAACTTGGTTGAGGCTGTCGCTTTCTGTGTAATTTTCCTTGTGGGAAAAGTATACAATTAAAGAAAGAAAAAAGGGAAAAGGGTGTTTAACATCTTTGATTTGGCTGTAGTTGGCTGTCACTTTTTGTCTGCAAACTGGTGGTTGTTGATTGACAGCAGTGGGAGTCTGCATTTGGCTTCCAAGAAACCATGTATTAGTTGAAGATTTTTGATCAAATAATGCTAAAGATTATCCCACTGTTTTCCTCTTCTTCTTTCATCCTTTGACTATACACCGGCTTAGACTGGGCTCGATCGCATCTGATTAGTTTTACACAATAAAGAAAGGCAGGCCGGTCAATAATTTCATATGTAATTTACATGAGAAACCTGAACCTTCCATTTGCCTGCTGACCCATGAAGTTTCCCTCTCCTCCTCCTCCTTTCTTTTATTAGTAGTAGAACTCCTGGTTGTGCTCATTAAATTACAGAACCAGATTCTCCATCTCTCTCTCTCTCTCTCTCTCTCTCTCTCTCTCTCTCTCTCTCCTCTCTCTATCTCTCTCTGTTTTTCTTTCTAGATTTGACCTGGAGAATTGTTGAGCCAAGAGCCTATTGCCATTCTTTTCAGGTTCAAGATCCATATTTTCTTGAAATGAGTGCAGTTATAACTATCCAATGATTTTGTTTGTGGTGTGACAGAGGAGCTGTGGAAGTGTCATAACTGAGCTCTGAGGTCCACAAAGTTTGCATCTTTGTGAAAATCCCAAATCTGGGCTGCCATTGATCCCTTTGGGTTTTGATTGTGTGTTCAGAAGAGGAATGGCACCAAGCTCTGTAGTGGTGACTATTGAGAACTCCAAGAGCATTTCCCTGGTGGAGATCAACGATTCGAATTCGCCCGCCTTTCGGGATAAACAGAAGGCTACAAACCCAAAGACATTCCTTATTCTCAAAGCCCACAGAGCTCTAGCTTGCCTTCCATGGCTGGCCACTGGTTTGCTCACAACATTTTCTTCTGTCAAGAAACGCATTGCCTTGTCTGATACAGATGAAGAAGATCCCAGGTATAGAGGGAAGTTGTACAGGTTCATTAGAGGCTTTCTTGCTGTTTCTGTGGTGGCTTTAATTCTGGAGATCATTGCATATTACAACCAATGGGATTTGAGTCACTTTGCTCTGGTCAATCCTGGAGAAGTTCAGAATCTTCTGCAATGGACTTATATGGCCTGGTTGTCTTTCAGAGCTGACTATGTTGCTCCCTCCATTGTCACACTTTCTAAGTTCTGCACTGTTCTTTTCCTCATTCAATCCGTGGATCGCTTCGCGCTTTGTCTCGGCTGTTTCTGGATTAAGTACAAGAAAATCAAGCCTGTTATAGATGAAAATGCATATGATCCTGAAGATGACTCAAGTTTCCCTATGGTCCTTGTACAGATTCCTATGTGCAATGAAAAAGAGGTGATACAAAACATCCCAATCTTTATGCATTCTTATTCTCTTTTAAGAAATTGATCTGAGTCTGATTATGAACTTCCTGTGGAACATACAGGTTTTCGCGCAATCAATTGGAGCTGCCTGCCAACTGGATTGGCCAAAAGACCGGTTTCTAGTCCAGGTCTTGGATGATTCAGATGATGAAGCTTTGCAGCAGATGATCAGAAATGAAGTCCTGTCATGGAAAGAGAAAGGCGTAAACATAGTGTACAGACATCGGTTGATCAGAACAGGATACAAAGCCGGCAACCTTAACTCTGCAATGGCCTGTGAATATGTCAAAGACTATGAATTCGTCGCAATCTTTGATGCAGACTTCCAACCCAATGCTGATTTCCTTAAACTCACAGTTCCTCATTTCAAGGTATATAGTAAGCTTGATATCAGATTGTATTGAGTCTTGAATTCTTGATGGAATTATCGAGTTACTGAAAAGAATTCATTGTTTTTGTATCAGGGGAATCCAGAACTAGGACTAGTTCAAGGCAGATGGTCATTCGTGAACAAGGATGAGAATTTGCTCACGCGGCTTCAGAACATCAACTTGTGCTTCCATTTCGAGGTGGAGCAGCAAGTGAATGGCCACTTTCTCAATTTCTTTGGGTTCAATGGAACAGCTGGAGTGTGGAGAATCAAGGCCTTGGAGGAGTCGGGAGGATGGCTCGAAAGGACTACTGTGGAGGACATGGATATCGCGGTTAGAGCACACTTGAATGGCTGGAAATTCATATTTCTAAACGATGTTAGAGCGACCTGTGAGCTGCCAGAGTCGTATGAAGCATACAAAAAACAGCAACATCGTTGGCATTCCGGTCCAATGCAGCTCTTCAGATTATGCCTTCCTGCCATTTTGACTTCCAAGGTAACTTTTGAGTTCTTGGTTTGTTTGTCATCTGAAACACAGGAATCATAGATTCATAGTACTGATCAAATCTGGATTGTCTGTATGTTCTTGCAGATATCAATTTGGAAGAAGGGCAATCTGATATTCCTCTTCTTTCTTCTCAGGAAACTCATACTTCCCTTTTACTCATTCACTCTCTTCTGCATCATACTTCCCCTAACAATGTTCATCCCAGAAGCCGAATTACCACCTTGGGTGATATGTTACATTCCCATTGTCATGTCCATCTTGAACATCCTTCCCTCACCAAAATCTTTCCCCTTTCTCGTACCCTACCTCCTCTTCGAAAACACCATGTCGGTCACCAAGTTCAACGCCATGGTCTCGGGCCTGTTCCAGCTAGGCAGTGCCTATGAGTGGGTGGTCACAAAGAAGACAGGCAGGTCATCTGAATCAGACCTGCTGGCATTTGCTGAGAGGGAATCCAAGAGCCTCCAGGGGGACAAAATCACGAGGCGGCTCTCGGAATCAGGGCTCGAAATGTATGGCAAACTGAAGGAGCAAGAGCAAGAGGTCCCAATGGAAACCAAGAAGAAGAAGAAGCAGAACAGGATTTACAGAAAGGAACTAACACTTGCTTTCCTTCTCCTCACTGCTGCTGCAAGAAGCTTATTGTCTGCCCAGGGGATCCATTTCTATTACCTTCTGTTCCAAGGTTTAACTTTCCTTGTTGTGGGATTGGATTTGATTGGGGAACAAGTGAGCTAAAGATACAAACAGAAAGAAGGATGGCCTGTTTAATTTGGTCCATCTTTTTTGCTTCTTCTTCTTCCTTTTTCTTTTTTGGAGTATTGTGTTACAGCCAGCTGAATAGCAGATAGCTTTACAGGACAACTCAAACAAAGTAGCATACTTATATTCTTTTCTTAAATTTATTTTTCATCTGTGTAATTACAAGTACCTCCACTATTCTTAATAATGAATCAATGCAAGTGTTTCAAGTATACTACTGTATTCTTGTTTGATACAAGATTTTGCTTTGCTTGGTGAATATAATTATAGTTTAATTTAAGATTATAAATTGCAAGTAGTTTCAAATTTTATTCAAAACTAATTATGCATTAGTATTATTGATGGAGTTATGCTCAATCACATGTGTTATATCAATACTCGCTCACTGTACAAGTACAAGAAATGGAGTAACGTCACAGAAGTGGAGCAAGGCCCCAAATAAAACTATACATTTTATACCCAAAAAATAACTAACTTTGTAACATGTATAAATAGAAAATTATAACACCAAAAAACTAGGGTGTCAAGTAAAATAGAAAGTCACAACACTCAAAATACCAAAAAACAATTATAAACATTGAAAAAGTATATGAAATTTCTTCAACTAATAACACTTGTAATTTATGAATTAATTTTCACTATTAATACAATAAACGAGTTTTTAATATTCCGAAAACGGTGACTGGATAAGTAAAATATGAAGTATAATTTTCATAAATGTTCATATTATCAAGTAATAACTCTGAATTTTTTTTGTGACTAATAAACTAGGTGTCAAAGTAGGTTAAAAAAAAAGTATAAAAAGAATTAAACTGACCTTAAAAAATTGTGATCTTAAAGGCTATTGGTCGACGGCGAGACATATCTTTTTGAAAAGAACAGTTGACATTTCTCATATTTATCCGTTTCAGAAAAGCATGTTTGGTCTTTACTCTTTTTGTTTTACTGAGGTTAAGGTATCCCTAATTCCATTCTTTTCAACTGGAAAAAGAAAAAAGCATTAAAAATAAAAGTAATATATAACTTGGATGGGCTTCCCAAGTTCCAACCCAGTATATGGGCCGAGTTAAAAGCCCAAAACCACAATTAAATTACGATGGTCCAATAATTTTCCCTCCATCGGGCCCAGCCCAACTATGCATGTCGATTGTCGTCTTGTCGGGCAAGGGTGAAGTCATCCTAGTCGTCGGATGTCGCAACACATCGCTGTCAAAACTCGGGAGTCGGGAGTGGAGAGCTCAGAGCTTAGAAGGTGAGACATTTCCATCTCCGGCACTCAACCGCCGTTGGTCGCCGATCACTTTCACTTCTCCCTCCGTTTTCCTTAAAGCTGTTAAAGTTCGCGATAAAACCTTCCCCCGTATCAATTAAGGAAAATTTTCCGAATTCTGTGAATCAAACTTCAAAATCTCGCTAATTACTGCGCCTGATTATTACTAGTGCTCTATATTCAATAAACTACGCTTGAAGTTGGTGCCGACTTTTTTTTTTTTTTTTTTTTTTAAATAATAATTTCGTTTATTTTTAACTTGTGAAGCTGGGTAGATGTCATTGTGGCTGAAGCATCAATCAATGGGAGACGAAAAGGATGCATTTTATGTCGTCCGTAAGGGCAACGTTATTGGTATCTACAAAAGCTTAAGTGATCTCCAAGCCCTAATTCGCTCTTCTGTAAGCTTTCAGCATCTCTTTTAATGTCTATTTATGTGAAGTTTATGGATGAAATTTGTTTTATTTCTAGAGTAGAATTTTTAGGGGTTGTGATTTTCAAACATTATCATGAGAAGCTTAGAGATGGTCTGTGGTCCTAATATTTCAGGTTGGTGAACCTTCTATAAGTGTATATAAAGGGTATCACTTGGCTAAAGAATCTGAAGAATATCTTACTTCTCATGGGCTTAAGAATGCAATGTACTCCGTTGACAGCACTGATGTTCGAGATGATCTCTTTGGCTTACTTGTACCCTGTCCTTTCCGGGTTAGACTCTAATCTGCCACTCAAATGGTTTTATCTTTCTGGTTCTCTGCTTCATTTTTGGAGAAGATCAATGTCTAGTCTTATAACTTATAAGTTGCAAGTTTGCAACACCTTACTTCAGAGAGACGAATGTTCTTTAATAAGTTAATTGCTTCATGACTGAGTTGTGCTTTTGCAAATGACGCCTGTAGTAGAGTGGAAATATATATTTTCTGGTCAGGCATACTAATTTTCCAAGTGATATACTATTTGAGTACAATGTAGGTTTTTAAACTTTTTTAGTTTTGCCAAGCCACATGACTATACTGTTTACTCTAAAACTTAAAGAATGGCATTGGGTTATTAAAAATTGTTGAATTTTTTGTATTAAAAGATTCTATCCAATAATTCACGAAGTTTTCTTGTACCAGCAACCTGGTTCTTCCAAAGATAAACCACTCAGCAAGGACTTTCAGGAGAAACGGGCACAGGTAATATATAATATGAGAATATATTGATATTCCGTGACATTATGTGCCTCTTTGGAGAATTTATTGTTGTATGACATATTTATGTGAACTCCAAAGACTTTATATTGTTTTGTTTCAACTTGTGTCTTCAATCTTCAGTGATTCCTTTTAATGTTCATTATGAGTTGCCATGCCATGTATTGCACTTCCTAATTTTGAAATGACAAAGTAGCAGCTACCAATGCCACACATATTAGCAGTGAATTTCTAGTCAAGTTTGAAACTTTCTGGTTCCTTCAGTTGTTAATGATTCCCATGTCTCTCAAAATATATGTTCACTGAGAAGAAACTGTTGCATGTTCTTTGCCTAGAAACTTCCATTACTTTTTAGTGTTGTAGCTTGATCAGTTCAGGCTGATTAAAATGATTATATTTGGTTTATTTTGCTATGCTCTGAAGGATTATCAGTGGCATGTTCTGCATTTGAAGTTCAATCATTCATCTTCACTTTAAAGGAGTTTACTTTAAAATTTAAATGCATCATTTCCTTGATCAACAGGAAATGGCTGGATCTCCTTTGTATTCAACAGCTACTCAGCAAAAACCAGGAAAATTAGATAATTTCCTTGAAGTCCCTCCAATTTCTTCTTACTGTGTAAGTTTCTTCCCGGAAATTCTGATCCTTTGCTGGATGCCTCCATGAGGTCCAATAATTATTACAAGTAATTTATTAGATCTTCATCTGGGTTACTGACTGAGTGACTTCCTCTTCTTCATCTTCTTTGTTCACCTAGAAAAATCATTATTTAATTTTGGCTTACAGCTTCAAATTGATTCTTTAACGATAATAGCATCATGTACAGAGTTCCTGTATTCTTGAGTTCGATGGTGCTTCAAAGGGAAATCCTGGACTTGCTGGTGCTGGGGCTGTGCTGCGTGCTGCAGATGGAAGTATGGTAGGTATTCTTTTTGTTTTTTCCTAGACACTGGTCAAATTTGTGAGTTACGGCTTTTTCCAACATTTTATTCAATTCATAGGTTTTCCGGTTGCGTGAAGGCGTGGGTGTTGCAACCAACAACGTTGCTGAATACAGGGGTTTGATCTTGGGATTGAAGTATGCTCTTGAGAAAGGGTTTAAACACATACGAGCCCAAGGAGATTCAAAGCTTGTCTGCATGCAGGTCTTACATCTCTTTTTGTCTCACCTAGGTTTTACTGCACAGCATCTGCACATCATCTCTTTTTGTCTCACCTAGGTAATGTCTTATCAAAATCTCGTTGTCTCCTTTTCATACTTTCTTGGTGGAACAGACTCAAGGAATCTGGAGAACCAAGAACCAGAACATGGCCGAGCTGTCAAAGGTGGTCAGAGAATACAAGGACCAATTCACATCTTTCCAGATTAACCATGTTGAAAGAGTACGTGGCATTACATTTCCTTCCTCTATCTTAAATCGAGTGCACTCTACAAATTGTTACGAGCCAAAGATGCTTTGGTCTCCTTGTTTTACCATTTTCATAGGAGAGTACCCTCGTAAAAGTTGAGTTCGTCAATGGATACTGCAAGAACTTATCATCTCAAAGATCTCGTCTTTCTCCATACTCTTAAGCCTTCATTCTGACTGCTGATTTGCTTTTACGTGCCAGGAATACAACTCCGAAGCTGATGCCCAGGCAAATTTAGCTGTGTATCTAAAAAGTAAACATTCTTGCTAACACTCCTTTCTTCATATACATTTTCTCGCGTTTAAATTATACGAAGAACTTAATGTTTGTGCAGATGGGGAGTTTCAAGTGGACTGTGGCATGAAGTAGCTGAAAGCATAACCCTCAAACGATGTCACGATTTACGGATTTGACTTGAGAAGTCTAGCAATGTTGGACGTGACATCCAATACATGAAATGTAGATATACGATGGTGTGTGTATTAGGATGCTTGTCTATTTATGCAAAATTCCTTTTAAGCTCCACCTAAGAAGAAACACAAGAATACAGGTATTAAGCTCCCACATCATATTTTGACAAAATTGATCTGAAATAGAATCAGATCGAATCAGATCGAACCAGACCAAAGCTCAATTGGATTAGTTTCAACATGTGTTTGAAGAAAATTCTATCATGAAATCATACAAGACAGATACCTTATCAAGAAACCACAAGTAATAGAACATAATCAAAAAGGATTCTTTCCATATAAATCCAATAAAATTCTGTCCCCAAATCCCCCCCAAAACAATCTTTATTTACAGCTTCAGCAAAATATTATTTACTCCAATGGCTGAGATAACCAAAACCTGGAAGCCATTACCACTCTATCAGCAGCTATGCAGCAAGCAAAAAACTTGAAGATAATTACAACCCAATTCCCCCCAGAAAGAACCAAATTTGAAGCAGATATACAAAACCATAACCAAACTGAACTTGCCATGGAATCAAGAACTGGGTTTATCATCATCTTCAGAGTTGAGCAGTTCTTCCCAGTCCACTTCTTCATCTTCTTCATCCTTCTGTCTCAACACTTCCAGTATCCTCCTGGCCTTGTCCCTGGACCGTTCACTGCCATTTGCTTCCACCTTCATCAGCATTTCCTCTGCTCCAGCTTCCTTTGCCAGCCCCTTGAATCTCAAGCCGCCATGGCTGAGGCCATACAGTGCAGTAACGCAGCTCTCTCTAGTGGAGCTTGAATCAAAATCCTCTCTTTTTAGCATACTGACGAAGCACTCCACGGCGCCGCCGTCGAGCATGGCTGCGCGGCCTTCCGGACTGGCGGCGAGATTGCAGAGAACGAGGAGAATGCGAGGTGTCATATGGCCGGATTTCACCATGGAAATTAGGGCTTGGACGGAGCCGAGTTTCACGAGTTTAGCCCTATTGCTTTGGACTAGAGAGAGATGATAGAGCGCGAGAACGGCGTCGTGTCGGGTCCGTTCGGATTCTGAGCGTAGAGAGTGGAGAAGCGGAGGGAGAGCTCCGAGAACGCCGATTGCCGTCTTGTTCTGATCGTCTAGGGCTAGGCTGAAGAGCGCGCCGGCGGCGTGGTCCTGCGATTCCGGGGAACCGCCCTTCAGCACGTTGATCAGCGGCGGAACGATTCCGGAGCGCACGATTTTCACTTTGTTCCGATTCTCCAACGACAGATTCACCAGCGCCGCCGCGGCGTTCACCTGGACGGCGGCGTATCTGGAGACGATGAGCGGGCGGAGAGCGGCGAGTATTCGGGGCGTGCAAAGCTGCACCCGCGTCTCCTCCCGGGTTCGGGTCAGCTTCCGGAGCGAGATAACCGATTCCTCCTGCTCAAACACGAGCGAGCTCTTGAGCTTCGCTACAATCTCATCCTCGTCCAGAGAATTCGCGTGCAGAGCTTCCAAATCACACGACGAAGAAGACGACGAGTAACAGGCCGGCCGCGTCGTCAGCGGCAGCGGAGTAGTGGGCCCGCTGGCGGAGCCAGCGCCGGGGGCCACCGATGATTCCTCAGAACTCGTCGTCTGCGACTCACTAAACTCCTTCAAAACCTCGCAATCGCTCCCATCACAACGCCGCCGCTGAGCCTGTTTCTCCGTCGTCCGTGATTTACGGTTCTGAGAATCCATTAACCCTCGCACGAGCTTCTCAGCGGACAGAAAATCAATAGGCGTCGGAGATTCCAGAAGAGAAGAGTCGCACCAGTTGAGAATGGCAGACCTGAGCGCCAAATTCGGGATGACGGCGGAGAAATCCGGCGACGACCCATCGTGCAAAACCGGCGTAAAAGACAGAGACTTGCAGGCATTAACGCAGTGGCGCTCGAAGGTATGGCCGGAGGAGACGATAACAGGGTCCGCCATTAAAGAACGGGAGATTGGACACAAGAACTCAGTGGGTATTGTTAGATGCTTCCTTAGAAACGTCGACCTGTGAAATGAGAGCTTCCATCTGGTCTTCCCACTCCCCATTTCCGCAGCGTTTGTTCTGAAGAACGGAATGGAACGGAACGAGAGAGAAAAAGGGAAAGGGAATAAGGGAAAAAGCGTTCTTCAGACGGGAACGTCGAGCAGAAAAACGCGGGGGAATTTATGGAATCCGTAGTTTGAGCCTTTGAGGGATTATAGAATCAAAGTGTAGGGAAAAAGGCAACAGAATTTGGAAGAGTGTATTTGCTATGCTGTGTTTGGTAAATAAGTGTTACTTGTTAGATGATTTAGGTGGTATATTTGATTAGGTGATAGTATTAATTAATTGTAAAAAAATATTTGACAATTAGATGCTAGTTGATAGCTGATCACATGCAAAATGATTTTATAAAAAATTTTAACATTTTGAAATAAAAAACTATTATAAAAAGTTAATTAATCAAACACTCATATGAGTTGTTTAACCATGTCAAACAACTAATAGTGATCAAACAAGTCAAAATTAATCCATAAGCTAACTATGTTACCAAATAGGATCACTGTTACTATCCATATATATATATATACACACACACACACAAAATAAAGACATATGTTAAGTTTTACACCTTTATTTGTAAGAATGTGTGTTAAAGTAAAACTCGTTTTATGATTTTAATTGGAAAAGATTACAAAGTGATAAATCAATTTAGATTGTTCAAAATTGATTAGTTCAGACTAAAAAAATTAATAAACAACTTTAAGTTGAGAGTCAAATTTGAAACTTAAAACTTTATACGTTATATTTTGTCACAAGTAAATGAAGAGTAATGATAGACTTTTTTAAGTACAATGTCTAATTTTACAAAACATACTATACTACAAATCATGTCATAAAATTTTTATATACTAATATAATAATAACACATACTCCCTACAAAATATGTTTTTAAAGATATTATTGGTGCCTACTATAATCTTGAACATGTTCAATTTTGTGCTTTACCAAAAGTAGAAAGAAAAAGAGTAATTTTTAAAGTACAAACTACAATCTTATAAAAAATATGTTGTAATTTACGATATTTTATTTAATTATTACCCGAAGTTTGTATTTATGGATAATAATTAACGAGTAACTCATGTTACATAAAGGTTAATTCTGTTGCGATTTCTGAACCAAGTTTTCAGGGGCCTGAAAGGCTAATTTTGACCCAAGTAAAATCTCTGCAACATTTTGCTTTCACCTCCTTTTAAAGCAGTACGAAAAGAGCTCAAGGAAGAGCATGTATTATGTATATATGGATTCTTATTCTAGGTTGGTTAGGTTATGCCTTTTTAAATAAGTAATATTTTGGCATAAGTTAATGGATTCAAAACTCCAAAAAAGTCCCAAAAGGAACGAGTAAGGGTGTATTATTTGTAAGTGGAGCATACTTTTCCTCACCCAATGTTAAAAGTTTGAGTCTTGTCAATTCGTGTTGTAAAAATCAGTCTAGGTGACTGTCTAGATGATAAGCGTCTCTAAGTTGAGGCGGTCTTAACTTTATGTGGCTTTTAATCGGTCGGCCGATTAAACGTTTAACTCGGTCTAGTCAGTGTCCAATTGGACCGAGTTTGGATTCAACTCGGTCAATTGTTTTTTTACTTGTTCGACTACTTCTTTTCTATATTCAATTCCATTAGTCATGTACTCAATTAACCATCTACACATATGTTGTTGATTAGTTTAGAGGATCATAATAATGTAACAACTCTCATCTCTAAGTGGGAAATGTAGAGACTATATACTCAGAGATTACTAGGCCGCCTAGGCGCTCCAAACACTAGGCGCCCCCGGTCGCCCAACTAGCGCCTAGGACATTTTGCAACATTATAGTCAACACTGTACCTTTTCAGTCAAATTTATAACACATGATCTTTTTAGTGCAATATATCTTTCTTATGTAGTCGTAGACTATTACATAAAAATAAATTTACTCAATACATTTATATACATCATTAAATATTAATTATAAATTTCTCTCTTATTCCGATAAAAAGGCATGGGAAAAGAGGGGTGACAACCATGCATGCATTGAGATGTGTTGCCATCCAAGTGAGAAAGAATGGATTGAATAGCAGATGAGAGCAGCAGTCGTGCATGGAGTGTATTATATCATCATTGCTTTCTAAGCTTAATTGCTAAGCTTTCTTTCTCTTTTTATCTTTGCTGTTGCTTCCCACATGATCCTTCCCATTATTCTAACACCCAAATTATATTGTTTTTTAAGGCATCATCATTTCAGACTCTATGTCTTATATCACTAATCCACAAATATCAATAAAGATTTTTTATGGTGCAATATTATAAATAGTATTATATACAATCACATATAATATATTTAGTTGTATAAAATATTATCTGATACTTTGTATAATAAAAATTATATATATATGATTATATTTGATACATATTATTAATATAAAATTTCATAACAATAATATATAATTCGATTTACAAATTTTTTTTACTTTTTAAGGCCTCATTTAACATTTGCACATAAAATAATATGGGTTGACAGAATTATCTATTTTAAAGTTTATTCATATCAAAATTCTATATTGTCAAATTAAAGCTCATACATACTAAAGCCACGTACTATATGGTCATATGCATATCTTCTCAGAGGTGTTGATGACAACCTATAGTGATTACTTTTTTCACTGATTACAATTAGTGTCTCAATAAAATTCACTTTTTGAAAATAAGAAAAGTATTTGGGGTGATATCAATAATTTCCATTTAAATGTGGAATTTGTTTGGACGATAAAGACTCCATCCAGCTAATCCTCCTGGCCTCATTCAAAGTCTTCTTCTTTTAGTTTAATAATATTTCTTTCCCCATGTTTAGTCCTTTTGCTTTGTGACATACATTTCCAAACTCTGCACTAGCCATGCATTGGTTAAGACCTAATATTAAGTAGTTGAAAGGACACGTCTTTTTCTACTTTTTTTTTTTGTGATTTAAAAATTCGCAATTATTATTTAAGAATGTATACGATAACTCGAGTTAAAAAAGAGGTAATAAGTTTCTTATAATATTTTAATATGGAAATTATATTTCATTCACACCTGTATCATTTTTCTTTTATATGAGAATCATGCTTACTTCTTTTTCTACTTTAATATTGAAAGAACGAAGACATATATTGTTTGTTTTTTAATGGCCACGCTACGACAAATCAATTACCAATCAAATCGTTCATTATTGGTGGGATTCTCATATGTTTCAAATTACTCAATAACATGATTTAGATGTGCAAGAAAGAAAGAAATTAAAAAAAAAAAAGTCTTTTCTTAGTCACATTGAGAATAAATATATATATATATATATATATATATATATATATATATATATATATATATATATATATATTGTTAAGTTAATTAAATTTATTCTTAAAAAGTACGGAGTAATAAAAAGGATTCATTGACATGTTTTACGGTATGAATATTAAAGGTAATTGATAGCATAAATTAGATTAAAGTGGGTCTACAATAACATTACAAGATGAGAGACAGAGAGAGTATGATAAATCAAGTACAAGTCGATCAATCGATTTAATGCGGACAGAAGCTATCTGACTGGGAATCTGGGATGCCCTATAACTCATCAACAATAATATAAGGACTCACGATTCTTATGGATTATATCATTTGGAGATTTATAATAAGCTAATTAGAAAAATTCCATCTTTATTTTCCGAAGCCATGTTCACACCGAAAAATACATAATATATTTCCTTTCAAGAAAAGATAACCAGACTAGACATATTAGATGACCCAAAAGACTTTAAATTTGGATATATAAATTTTGAGAATACAATAAAGTGGCTGGTGGCATGGACAGGAATAAACTTGGGCATATATGCTTTTAAAGAAACTTTTGTAAAAGTAGAGAGAAGTGTTGATATGACTTGGCCTTTACAAATGGGCACTGCAACTTTTTGGTTTTTGCCATTGACAAAAGAGTACTATGAGAGTGAAAAGGAGAGAGCAACTGAGCAAGTAGCAGCCTAGCAGGTGCTGCAATTTTAGCCAATCATGACCCCAACCCATGATCTGTCATACGTTTTTGGGTGTCTCAAATCTCGTTTTGGCTTTTGGGTTACGTTAATTAATTAATGTTGAATAATCTTGTGTGTTTTTCATGATGTTTTCTTGCATGATTTTCAAGAACATCAGGATTTATACTAGCTGTATAACCTTCTTGTAATGATGTTTCTTGCATGATTGCATGTGCTTGTCTACTTGAGGAAAACAAGGATATTAGGGAGGATTTGAGTAGCCAAATTAATATAGTCAAATCTCGATTAATCGAACATTTTAAATAATTCTTCAGAAGATGAAACTAATCTTGTCAAATTTCAGTTAGATTACATTATCTAATTAAATTCGGATTAGTTGTCTCAAAACCAATTTAGTCAAAGCAGTTGCTACGTACAAAAAAGTTCTAACTCTTGATATCATGTTTGAGAAGAAGAGGGATGATACACATCTTCCAAGCTCTTTCAAGCAATGGCAAAACATTTTGCATAGTTTCTGAATGACTTAGCTAAGATACACCACCAAGATGACTACTATACAGTGCACACATTCAAAGCAGAGATCTTCTCCCTCTATACAATCAAGATCTAAGACACAAATTCTCACAGGTGGCATGTTCACTTCAAAAGCCTTCAAAATGTATATTGACACAATTTGATGTTTTATGTTCAATACAGTAAGCATACAGGTGATTGGTCATGTTGGTTTTGGCTTTTTATTATAAGCCATTATAGCCAATGATATCTTCTTCCTTGGTCCCTGCAAATGATAACCGGTCGAAAAATAAGTATGACTAATATGGGAGAGTGCACATTCAACAAATTGAAGATGGTACTTAAGCCAGAACTAAATTTCCACATGATAGATTAAATTGGCACAACAAGATAATGTTGTATCTATACCATTGGTATCCCTAACTCTTTCAGGTCACGGTCCCCCATTTGCTTCAGTGCAGCCATGTCCACCTGAGAAATGATGTTAAACGGGAAGGAATTGTTTTTTAGAGGGAATAGCAAATATCTGCAGTTTCACAGAATCTACGGGACAAAACATCTGCAAAATAAAATATTTGGAACACAGAAAAAGGAATATAGAACAGAAAATCTCCAAAGTGTGCAACTTATGGGATGACACAGCACATTATCAATGGTACATAGAAGTTCCAGTCAGTAACACGAATACA